GAAGAAACAGCAAACGGGAGAGGAAAAAGATAAATTGGAATGTTGGTTAGACAATAAATAGAGTTGGTTATTCCCATTCCCATGAGAAAAATAATTTTCTCGAATATACACACCTACCTGTAAATATTAAATTCAAAGAATTAAAGGGCAAATGGGGACAGGCTGTCTTACACTTCTATGGTAAAATAGAAACCACAGGCTATAAAGAAAACTATAAAGGCTATGAAGACATTGCTTGGCTATGTTAAGAAAAGGTTAATCATTGAACTTTGTGCTTTCCTTTTACTGTGATTATTGAAAAATATTGTACACTGAGAAATATTGTGCAAACTCATGGTTTGATTTATGGTCTGATGCTTTACTGCTATTGTAAGCTTTCTAATTATAAATAAAGGTTGTAGAAGGCTGCTTTTTCAGAAGTAGAGAGAGAAGTAGAAAAAGAAAGAAGATATTCGGCTGACCTCCCCCGAGCAGGTCAGTCAACAGCCTCTACTAGAACTGCAGTTGTGGTTTCTGGTACAGTCATTTCTACCGCCACAGTTACCTTCACCCCTTCAGGCCCCAGACTCAGCTGGAGCTGGACTCCGGCACATTACCATATAGGCTAAGGCCTATCAAGTCAAGTGTGTCATCAGATGTCCCTCAGTGCCACTTCATCCACTGGAGCCTAGTATGTTAAAGCCTCCCTGGTTCAAAGGAAGCTCAGAAATGGGTAAGAGCTGATAGGTTAGAGATAAGCTCAAGTGAACACTCAAGTACAGACATAAGAAGGCAGAGTTAGGGCTATCTGGAGGAAGCAAGAACTAGAAAGGTTTAAAAAGGGTTGGAATGGAATATTAGGGAGCAAGCAACATGGGAGGGATGGAAGTAAGCAACATGGGAGGGACAGAAGAGTGGCTGGTGGTGGAGAAAAGGCTGAGGTTCAAGAGCTATTGAGGGCTGTTGTTATCAGAGTAGGAAGACAGGATATTGGCATTTACAAAGCCTTCAAAGGTGGAGTCATTTCCGGCTATTACAATACACAGAACGTGACTTGAAAGAGAGTGGCTATGGAGCAGTCGGACAAAGGGACAGCAAAGAGAGGTCAGCAAGGGACAGCATCCAGGGCAGCCCAACCTGAGTCTCAGTTTCTGGAATAAGTAGAAAAGTTCAACCACAAGTTGGATCCTCCGTAACAAATAGATTTAAAGCTCCATTAGGAAGATTCTTGCATCACTCTAGCCTCCCACCTTCCCTGCTACTGCAGTCCAGACTCTGCACTTGCTAAGTAAAAGCAGTCCTCATCACAGTCCCACAGAAGCCCCACAGCATTCCTTACCAACCATTTAGCTTGTCGTCCTAGGACAGCTGGGTGTATGAAGAGTTACTGACAACGAAACTGGCTTTCTGCCCTGTCCCCCCGCTTTGTGGCCATGATGCTATTCTGCCTCCCCAACATGCAGGGCTCCAAAGCTTATCTCCTTAGTATATTAAAAAGACAAAAGCTGGTCATGATGCTTCCTTCACAGCTCCTAGGAACATGCTTAATATGTAACACACATGCAATTAAATATGCATGTTTTTAAAAGGCCAGAATAAAAGGGGGCTATTTGAAAAGAGGAAGACAACCAACAGGAAAGCTGAGGTGGAGACAAGAGATGGTAACAAGGGGAGATGAACACATACGGTCAAAGTACATGCTTGAAAATGCCATAATGAAATCCATTTTTGTACAATTAATGCTTGCCAATGTAAAGAAAAGCTAGGGGAAAAAAAAGAACTTTGAATGGTTTTACCTCAAAGAAGTGATAAATGTTTGAGATGTTCATGTTGCCCTGATTAAAATGTCCTATGTCCTGGTCATGGTTACCCCATGCTGTGTGAAATGGCAGCTTCAGGCTGTTTGACTCCATTTTGTTTGACTTCAGGCTGGGTGACTCCATTTTACATAGCAGTATTGGTTCTATTTGAGTGCAAATTCAGGGGCAGGATGACTGCATTTTACTGTGCATGTAGACACCACCACCTGTCCAGTACTAACCATAAGGCACCAAAAGATAAATAACTTTTTCCTAAAAATAAAAAGATACCATCTATAATCTTATCAGAGTAGACTGGGAACATAGAACACATGGGCATATTAAAGTCATATTAGAAAAACTGGGCCCAAGAACTTACCAAACACATCAGACCAACAAAGGGTGCCACACTCTCACCTGGACCCTATAAAGACGAAGACCCTGAACACTGCAACGACAGCAGTCCCACACACCTGTCATCTGGTTGCCCCCAGATAAACAGCAGAGAACTCAGTCTGTCTCTGGCACTGCTTGGGATGGCCAACTTAGATTGCCCAGTCTAACTATCCATCCAGTCTCCGTCCAGTAAGTTCTGCACTTTGCCTCTACTGTCCTGGGCCTCTGCAGCACCTGCAGCTCTGCTGGATCCTGGAACCCCACAGCTTGGCTCTGCATAGCCTCCAGCAGCTCTTCTACTGAGCTGTTAGTATTTTATCAGACCCCCAGCAGTGATTCTTTGCACCTGTAGCCCTCTGCCTCTGCCTCTAGTAAGGCCTCTGAACTGTCTCTGAAGCTTCCCTAACTCTTTTGCAGCCATCCCGAACTTACATATAGAGAGATATAATTGCTGTGTGGTGTGTAATGCCTGATCTGAGAGTTAATAGTAATTAGATTGGAACAGAAGATGCTGTTTGTACTGGCCAGCTATCAAGGGAAATCAAGACTACTTGGCCAAGTGCAGCCAGTGAAACCAAAGTAGCTTGTGAATTTATTGTTATTCAATAAATGCTGACACTGTGGAAAGACACAAACGTGTGTGTGCTTCTGGCATAACTCACTCAAGACAGAAACCTTATACAATGAAAAATAATAAATCTTTTTTTTAACGTGGAGGAACAGGAGAGATGGCTCAGCAGTTAAGAGCACAACCTGATCTTCCAGAGGGGTGGAGTTCAATTCTCAACACCTACATCAGATGTCTCACATCCAACTATAACTCCGGTTCCAGGAGATCCAGGACCCTCTTCTGGCCTCCACAGATACCTGCACATATGTAACATACACACAGACACACACACACATTGGCTCAGCAGTTAAAAAGCACTGGCTGTTCTTGCAGAAGACCCAGGTTCAAATCACAGCACCCACATGGCAGCTAACAATCATCCATAACTCCAGTTTTAGGGGATCCAGTGCCCTGTTCTGTGCTCTGCACGCATTGCACGACATGGGTGCACTTACATACATGCAGGTTTAACACTCATATACATAAAGATAAAATAAAATAGGGGCTGGAGACACAACTCAGCAGTTAAGAGCACTGGCTCCTCTTGCAGAGGACCTGGGTTCGATTCCTAGCACCCATGTGGTGGCTAACAACCATCTGTAACTTCAGTTCCAGGGTATCTGACACCCTCTTCTGACCTCCAAGGGCATTGCACAACATGGGTGCACTTACATACATGCAGGCAATACACTCATGCACATAAAATAAAAATAATAAATAAAATATTAAAAATAAATAAATAAATGCCAGATGTGATGGCACATGCCTTTAATCCCAGCCCTTGGGAGGCAGAAGCAGGAAGATCTCTGTGAAATCGAGGCCAGCCTGGCCTACATAGTGAGTTCCAGGCCAGCTGTGGCTACAGGGAGGCCCTGTCTAAAAAAGACAAAAAGAAATAAATTAAAATAAATTAATTAAATAAATAAATAAAAAGTAAACAAATTTTTAAAACTTTACATAATGTACACTTGTTAAAATACCACATCATACCATATAAATGGGTATAACAATTTAAAATATACATTTTTTACATATTTTTAAAAGAATAAACCAACCCAACATCTAAAATTCAAAACTAGAAAAATTAATTTAGGATATTAAAAGTCAACATAATGGGGCAAGAAATGTAGCTCAGTGGTAGAACACTCATCTGGCATTTGGAGAGGTCCTGGGTTCAATCCCTAGCATGACAAAATAAAAGTCAACACAATGGATACCTTCTGGTTACCTGGTAGAATTGCAGTATGTCTTGGTCAAGTTCTGTTCATGTAAGTGTATTCACTGGTCTGTATAATTATGATGCAGTCAGTTTTCTGTATGTATGTTACACCTGAAAATTCTCTTAAATGGATCAATCAAGGGGTAGAACCTTAATTAGCTTAAATGTGAAATGCTTCCCCACTGTAGGATTCAAACAGCAAGGATCAAACATTTTCTATGCGGTCAAGGTAGGTCATTCACATTTTAGGTCCTGCAGTCTGTAGGGTACTTGCCATGACCACTCAGCTCCGCCACTGTAGCATAGAAGTAGCTATGGATAATGCATAAATAGATTGGCTATGTTCCAATATACTGTGCCTATGAATATTGATCTTTGAGTATCATGTAATTTTCACATGTCCTGAAATTAATTTGGTTCAATCATTTAAAAACCATTTTCAATCATTTAAAAAGTCATTCTTAGGTCTCCAGCTATACCAAAACAGACTGCTAGCTGGATTTGGCCTGCAGGAAGTGATTTGCTGACCTCTGCCCTAAGGGGAGTACATATAAAGCACATTTCCTGGTCTGCTTCCAGGCTCCACCTAGCCGGTCCTCAATCCTTCTCTCACCTTTGTAAGTAGGCAAATACCGTATCTTGTCACAACATGGAAATTTACTGTCCCGAGGCTTGATGGCACCAACTTGACAGACAGGGTAGGAGTTAAAATCTTGTTTATATGTTGTAAGCAAGTCCATATTCTCTTCACTTGGAATATACTGGTCAGGCTGGTGGAGTTTCACTGGTACCATTTTGTGAAGCCCAAAATCCCTCCTGGGAGAAAAATAAATATATGTCACCAGAGTCCTTGCTTGGAAGAAAACTGTTTTCTACTGAATCCACATTTCCTGGAAAGTCGTTTTCTACTCTGACCCCCAGCTACTCCTTTCCTCTATCCCCCACTATGGAAAATGTCACAAGTCGCTTCTTGCCCAACCTAGACACCTGGGGGTCATCCTGGACCCCTGCTCTCACAGCCACAGGCTCTCTCATTAGCTAGGTATGCCCCTCTACCTCATGGTCGTTTCCTTTCCCCGCTTCAGACGCCAACCATGCTTTACTTGGCCCATGCGACAACCTCCCCCCTAAGCTGCCTGCTTCTTTTTGAGTCTCGGCTGCCTTGGTGGGGCCAGAATAAGTTCTGAATGAAAATCAGGTCAGCTTGCTCCCCAGCTTAAGATATTTTCTAAATAAAACCCAGTTCTCTAGCATGATTTACAAGTAGTCTCAGACCTGTCTCTTGCCTTAGCCCTCACCCTCATCACCTACCCCCCCAACACACACACACACATACACACACACACACACACACACACACCACTGAGCTTCCACCACAAGGCTCGCTGCAAAGAGCCCTCTTCGGCACCTTCCCTCCCCTTCCACCGTCCTCCCATCCAACCCCTCATGTGGAGCTACTGCCATCTTTTCAAATCCTCCTGCCCCTCTCTCTGCTCTCTCAAGAACTTCTGCTGATGTGTATGTCTTTCTCTACTGAACCTTGCAGAAAACCCAGAAAAGGGGAGAATGTTAAAGATCCTCGGTCTGTCATTTGTTTGCTGTTGTCAGCGCCCTCATTATTTCAGCAAGTATAAAAACAGTAGGATGAGGGAAAAACAGGATGGTTTTTGCCTGAACAGAGGTAACCAACCCCTTCCCAAAGCATCCCACAGTTATGACAGGTCCAGGTAGGATCCGCCCATCACCAGGAGGCCCTGAGCCACACCCAGCTGAGTTAGGCCATGTTGCCTGCTCCAACCGTCTGCAGCCCACTTCTCTATGCCATTGGCTCTAGAAACAGACTGCTTTTACCTGGATCCCATTTATCCAAATGGAATAAGGGGGAGGTAGATTTTCTCTGAGGGTGCCTGCTAGAACAGCCCTGTCAAGGGAAGGTAAAGGTTTCCAACAGGAAAACATCAAGCTAAATACCAGCAAAACCTACTTCCAGGACAGAAGTTGGAACAGCATTACTGAGCCATGCTTAATTAGCAAAGATAACAAGCTCCATTGTAACCTGTCTTGCATGAATTATACACAGAACTGTCAATAAACCCATTCCTGGTTCTAAACATGGTTGGTGGGATGAGAGGATTATAGAAGCAAGAGAATTAGTCTCTTTGGGGCTCCAAGCAGGAAATGAGAGATGCTTTAGTTGAACTCCTATAACACTCTGAGTAGATCTTAAAATATGTCTTAGTGGCAGGCACAGTGTCCACAGCCTGGGCTACCTTCCCAGAGGCCTGGCTGTGGGCAAACAGCAAGAGGCAACTGGGTGGCCTGGAACATCTGGAAGCTGATTGTGTAAGTGGGGGTTATGGAGGAAATGGCCTAATGAGAAGCTAATCAAGAAGCCAAGGTCAGCTCCATACTTTTATCCTTCATAGAATAAGGACCCAAGGACCTCATATAGTAACTCTTAAATACTAAACCAACTGCTGCACCAAACTAGGAGGGTAAGGCCTGAGGCTGCAGAGACCATAGAAATGCCTGAAGCCCTGTCTGAAAACCAGTTAACCTGAAAGTTAACTTTCTGCTGGAAAGTTATGTTCTCAGAGGAACATACCCAAGGGAAGCAAAATGTTCTTCACTCCCAGAAGAACTAGAGTGGGGTTTTGAAAGAACCTGAAACCACACACAGCCCTCCAAAACCTATGTTCAGGGATGGCTAACCCAGCTGTGGTCCCTCCTCCACATCTAAGGAATATCAGGAGATCCCACAGGCCAGCACTGAGGAACAAAACCAGATGCCTGAGCTTCTATGTTGTGCCCTTCCACCTGAATGCCTAAAAAGCCTGCTCTCTCTTAGAGATGCCATCTTGCAAGGGCCTCAAGACACTGACAACTGAAGCAGGCTTAATACCCCTGGCCCTGCTCTTGCACAGGAAAGCTGTTGATGAATACTCACAAGCTCACCAGTTCATGGGCTATCCAGAAGTTGGCTTCTCAAAGACAAAAACAAATTTCTGCTCTGTTCACCATGTTTAGGAAATGAATTTGTTACTGAATTTTCTTCAGTATAAAATTCACAGTCTATTATAAATATGCATCTATGTATTAATTTACTGACCAGTTATAGCAAAAGCAAATGATTATGATGGGGAGAGGCTATCAACTTCAGGACAGAGGAAAAATTTTCATTTCAAATTTGATTGATTTATATCTTGTTCAAAAATAGTTACCATGGCTTAAAAGTGAATTTAATCAGAATTTATGTGTTCCTCATTAGACATTTAAGTTGGAAACATTTGCTGAAACTTATCATTAACCTCAACATAACTACATGTCCCCAATCACACATAATTTTATAGCCTTTAAAATCATGCACAAGAAAAGTATTTTATTCTTCCCAGAAATTGCTTAAATTTAACAGCTTTTTTGTTAGGCACCCTAGCTCTCCCCCTTCCTCTGGTTTACTTTCCTGTGTCTGTGCTCACTGTGACTATGAGCAAGGGAAAAAATGTTCAAGGATCTAAGTTTCTTTCAGATAAGTATCTATAATTAAAGTTATATAGCATGGAAGGTCAAGAATTAAAGTTGGAGTTAAGTACAGGTCAGAGTGGGTCTGCTGGGGAAGTTACAAGTTGACTCCAAATCATTTTGCTAAGCTAAAGAAAGGGGCTGGGCAAGAATATGGAAAAGGGAAAGAGGAAGGACCCTAATGGCTCATTAAAATCATCTACCTGTGCGTGGGAAATGGAGGTTTTTCCCACAAAGGAGCCATGCAACATTTTTAAAATATTTTTAGTATTTTTGCAAATTTCAGAATTTGTTAGTGTCAAAGGAATTAATTAGTAAAGTAGCAGAATCTATTTTAAAAGGGGTCTTGCCTTTTGCCAAAGCGTAGCTCACTTTTACTTTGAATCCCTCGCTGTTTTGAGACCCTCATTTCATTGCATCTCCTGGTCTGCAGCTTCCCGTCTTTCCCGTCTCCTTTCTGCCAATATTTAAATCCGCTTCAGTCTCTTCCACGTTTAAAAGAAGAAAGTAAAACATGGCCCTGCCCTCCCGGCTTCCATTCTCCCCTAGGCTGCTCCTGCTCCCCTTCTCTCCTCTTTAGTTATCCTTGAGAGTCTACTTACTTCCCCACCTCCCACACGTCCCACCCATCAAATCTGCTTCTACTCTACACTGGCCACGTACCATGTTGCTTTCCGAGCCAATCACTGTTTCTCATCCTTGGCCTCCTGTGCAGATCTCTCCTCACAGTTGCTTTTTAATATTCCTTTCCTTCACCTCAGTCACCCACTTCTCACATGTGTCCTCGTTCACAATCTCTTCTGGTGTGGGGGGTAGGGGGAGGATACCCTTTGTTGAGTTACTTCATTATTTCCATATGTGATTTTCAAACTTTTCCAGGTCAAAAAACACCTTCTCTAAGGAAGTCATTATCTCATCCTAGGCAGGTTGGGAAACCCAGAACATGAGGAAGATCCCTCAGTTGGACCACAGTCTGATCCCAGCACATGGCACAGTATTCAAGCTACACAGCACTATCTCTTCTGTTCCCACCTCCTCAAACCCCGCTGAGGTAGAAGCTGACATCGATCACCATTTCATGTAGTCTGGAAAAAAATTTAAACTACCTGAAAGCACTAAAGAGTTAAGCCAAATCAACAGATTCTGGAGGAAGGCCAGCAGGTAGGGGAAGGAATGGCACTGGCCTAGTCTTTGCTGTTTAAGTTTCTATTAACTGCTTATGAGTGACAGCTTCCAGCTTAAACGCAGGCACCAGCCTATGCCAGACGAGGCAGCTCACAGCCAAGTATTCATTTTTTCTTGACTAAAATTTGGAACACCATCAACAGCATTAGTAATTAGGGGAATGCAAACTAAATCCACTTTAAGATTTCCTCTTACCCCAGTCAGACTGGCTAAGATCAAGAGAACAAATGATACCAAATGTTGGAGGGGATGTGGGGAAAGGGGAATGCTCATCCATTGCTGCTGGGGCTGCAAACTTGTTCAACCCCCATGGAAAACAGTGTGAAGAACTCTTTAAAAACTACAAATGAACCTACCATATGACCTGGTTATACCACTCCTTGGCATATACCCAAAGAACTCGTCCTGTTGCAGAGACACTTGTACATCCATGTTTGTTGCTGCTCTTTTCACAATAGCTAAGAGATGGAAGCAACCTGTGTCCCTCAACCGAGGAGTGGATAATGAAAATGTGGTTCATTTATACGATGGAGTTTTGCTCAGCAGTAAAGAAAGATGAAATCATGAAATTTGCAGGTAAATGGATGGAACTAGAAACTGTTATACTAAGTGAAGTAACATAGACTCAGAAAAACAACGATGTATGTTCTCCCTCATATGTGGATCCTAGCACCAAATCCTTATAAGTCATTATGTATCCAGATATTAACTACAGGAACCAGAATAATGAAAAGGAAGCAGGGAGGTAAAGGAAAAGAAAGAATATGAAAAAGAAGAGTAAGAAACAGGTATTAATACTGGAGATATGGGTTAAAAATGGGGTTATTTTATGGGGGGAAGGTTATACAAGGAACCTAGGGGATAAAGGGAAAGAAGGAGCTCAAGACAGGTGGGACCATAGGAGAAGGGTATTAGTAAGGCAGAAATGGGGAAAATGGGAGCACTTTAAATGAGGAAACCATGGTGTAAGGGTTAGGCAATGCAAAAGATAAATAATGCATAGCTAGTTTTAAAAAACCAGAGGGAACCATATTAATCAAACAACCTATTGACAAATTATACATACAACTAGCTCAAAGAATATAATACATGTCTAGGAAAGGTTTATCTGA